CCCCCCTGCCTCAGTTTTCCCAGCACCCACACAGACAGGCAGAAGGGCCGCGCGTGTGCGCAGCATGCCTGCGTGCATGCAAACACCCCCGGGGCTGTCAGGGGGTGCTGCGTGTGCTACACGTGGCGCGTGTGTCAGGGTGCTCCATGCGTCTGCACGCCGGCAAGCGTGCAAGCCTGTGTGAGCGGGCACAGCCACAGCACCAGCAGATGCGTGGGCAGATTTCCATGTTCCCACGTGCAGGTCCATGTGCAATCATGTGCACGCTCACATGGGTTTGTACACGCGTGTGCAAGCCCTCTTCCCTGGGCACCTGCTCCCCGCAGGGCCACTCACTGGTCCCTTGGCAGCACCCAGCGCTCGTGCCACCCTACAAGGGACCAGGCTGCACGCAGCTGGGCACATACACACGCGTGTGCACAGGCGTGTTGTCACCCATCCAGCAGCCGTGGGAAAAGCTCCCCTGGGCTGGGGGCTCCCACGCCGCAGTTGCTGGGTGACAGCAAGGCCTAACGATGCCATGAGCTTGTTTGCATATGCAAAGCAGCATCTTTGCTGCGGGTTCCCCGGGAAGAGGCCTTGCCCCCCGCTCCCAGGGTCCCAGATGGGATGCCGACGCGTCTCCCACGCACCCCCCACCCTGCCCTGGCCCCACACGTTAGCAGGGGCCTGCTTCATTAACGCCAATTATCCTCGCTAGGGAAAGGGCTGCCCCCCCTTCCACGTTCCCACCCCTCAGAGCCCCCTCCGCTTGTCCCGCTGCCAACACTATCCCCGTGCCAGGGGGCTACCAACCCTGGGCCCGGCTTTACACCCCCGCCTCCCTGCTGCCAGAAGGGCACCCTGCCCACCCAGTGCCACCCCGCCGGACAGGGAACCAGCCCATCCCACAAAACAGCCCCATCCCAGCTCCATACTGGCAGGATCCCAGTTAGTTTCCCTGCCCCCAGGGCCGGAAACTACTGGGGGGATGCATAGAGAGAGGGGCTGGGGGACCTCTTGGGGATGCCACCTCCAGGGGATGGTCCCCACACAGTGCAGGAGGGGTGGGAAGGGGCACAGGCATCCCTGGGCATGGGCCCCTCAACACACAGACCCAAGGAGGCTGGAAGGGGACCCGGGTGTCCTGGGCTGGAAGAGGCACCGGGGAGAGATGCCAGATTAATCAGGAGCTGGGA